TGTATCAGAGACTGCCAGAAGAACAAACAAATGTGTCTTGGAAGAAGGCCAGCTAGAATCCTCCTTAGAAGCAAGGATGGTGAGACTTCATCTTGTGTACTTTGGGACAAGTCATCAGTAGAGACCAGTCCCTTGACAAAGACATCATGCTTGGTAAAGCCAAGGGTCAGTGAAAAAGAGGAAGACCCTCCACAGGATGGTTTGGCACAGTGGCTACAACAATGGGCTCAAACACAGCAATGACTGTGAGGACTGGGCTGTGTTTCATTCGTTCTGTTGTATGAGGGTTGTTATGTGTTAAAACCAATTGATGGCACCTGACAACAACATTCCCAATATCTAGCACACTGCCTGCCACACAGTAAACTGTTTGGTGGTCAATGCCCTCCATGTTCAGCTGAGTATCACAGGGCTCCTAAATGTCATGGAGAACACACGCAAGGGTGAAGGAGAGTGGAACTGTGGGCCCACAGCCTAGCAGTTTGAGGACAGCGCAGCTGGACCCCTACCCGAGCATTCTGCTTTAGTCCCTTTGACTGGGGACTTGTATGTAATTTCTTTTTTCTTCCTTCCCTTTCATCCCCCTGGCTACTTTCTCCATACCAGACAGTACTATTGCTTTTCCTGGAATGTGGCTTCCCATACACAGGGCTGAGGGGCCTTAAACATCCTCAAATGCCTGGTTTTCCCTCTGGGAATGATCTTAACCAAGCAACCAAATGATCCTTCCTTCTACCTCTTCACTCCAGCCACTCCGATTGCAAATGGCTTGGAGAGAGGAGCAAATGTCATGTTGGACATACATTTATCCTTAGCAAGGGCAATCAACAGTGCAAATGATATTAAATGATCCATTCCCTGATATTATTTTAGCAATAATTAACTTCTGTTAGTTGTTTGAAAACGACTTATATAATGATTACTGCAAATTTTGACTTTCTATCTGCTACAGCTTTGAGTCCTCATGGCACAGTAATTAAGCAATTGGCTGCTAACTGAAGGTCAGCAGTTTAAACCTACCAGCCACTCCGTAAGAGAAAGATGTGGCAGTCTGCTACCATAACAAAAAAAAAAAAAAATCACTGCCATCAGGTCAATTCTAACTCATAGTGACACTACAGAACAGAGCAGAACTGCCCCTTAAGGTTTCCAAGACTATAAATGTTTATGGAAACAGACTGTCACATCTTTCTCCCATGGAACGGCTGGTGTGTGTTAACTGCCAACTTTTGGGTTAGGAGCCCAATGCTTTAACCACAGCACCACCATGAGTTGGATTCGACTCCAGTGAGTTTGGATTACTGCTTCAGGGTCAGGGTGGGGAAGAAATTAAGACATAAAGAAAGTTATGTAAGTATAAATTTTAGACCCTAAAGAAAAACCTGTTGAATCTTATACCCTCACCTCCCAGACAGAAATTTCACCCTCAGGCAATTTCCCTATCAATCTGAGTAGGCTCATACTTGGGAGGGCAGGAACTCAGAAGGGGCTCAAAAGCCAATTTTATCGATGAAGTTATAGAAGTATTTCTCAATACAATTTGGTCCAATGTGTGAATCCAAAGAGAAACATGTTAATCCCAGAATAAGTCAAAAGACTTAGTCATATAAATGAAGCCATCTTCTTTACTTCTAGCTTTCTCTTGTCCAGAAGAAACCAAATAAACTTAATGAAGAGAATGTCTTGGGGACAGGGCTCATTTTCCTTCCTTTGCTAAGTGTCTCCCATGTGACAGGAGCAGGGGTGGAGGCTAGAAATGCCCATGACTACACTTTGTCACTGACCAACTTTGTTTGGGAAGGCCAAATCAATTAAAATCCTTTCTCCTTTCTGGTGAGGCTAATTTTTGACTATTTGGTAAAACAGATTTAGATAGAACTCCCCCGAACACTTACCCTTTTCTTCTGGGAAGAGCAGCCGTTCTTATTTGCAAAATCAAGACAATCACAGTTGCACATTTTTCCCAAATCTTTGGCTGTATTGCAATGGTTGTTTCATTTCGTAATCTCCAACTAAACATTTCCTAACCATGGATTAACAATATAGTTACTGACTGGTTTCTTTTAACAGTATTTATCCAACATAACAAAATAAACTGCAATTTGTTATACTTTTTTTTTTTTTTTACAAAACATTTTATAAATATTTTTACAAAATGTATACAAAGCAATTTCAAGTGAGACATACTATACAAATGAAGGTATTTAAGCAAATAAAGCCCACACCACACTGACAGTGAGTGACGCGTCCTCTTTAAGTCAAGTCAGTCTGTAAGGCCTCCCTAATCTAACAAAATCTACTAAATTCTTCAGAGCTAAAATATTTCTTTTTCGTAATTGCCAGTTTAAAATTTGCTTTATCTTTAGGCAGTACTTAAGGACACAGAAAATCAAATGCTTAATAACAAATTCACACGTTTCCACAACAAGGAGGAAAAGAAAAAAAACAAAAAAAGATGAAGAAAATGATTTTTGTTACTGAGTACAAGTAGTCCTAAAACTTAACTTTGACTAATGAACCTGAACAACTGAATGTTGGCCATCTGGGGCTGAACTCTCTTACCCTTCACCGAGGGGGCTCCACATGCGAGTTATGTGCGTAACCCATGTGCGCATAACCTAATCACAGGAGTAAAATACATTTAGAAATCTTCATTTGTCATTATCTAGAATCTTTCCTCCATGAAAAGTAAACTTACATACAAAGACACAAAAATTTACAAGGTTCATTTTGGTAAATTAGGCTCTCCATTTGCTAGATGAGGGTTAGGGCTTTAAAACCCATTAAGATGGTTTACAGAAAAGCTAGGGTTGGGGCAGCAGGGCAGGGTAGGGGAGAGAGTGACAAATACACATGAGGCTTATCTTGTCTCTTAAGAATTCCACTGATTAGCAGTAATTAATGTAACTCATTAACAGCCCTCGGAAAGGCTTCCAGCCATAAAGTTCCACAATGAGAAGAATTTGATGGGGGGGACCATATCGCTAGGAATTAGGGGAGCATGAGACCTAAGAGAAGAGCCTAAGAAATCATGGGGGTTCAGGGCAGGGTGTTACCCCCTAGGCTGCCCAAACAGAAAGTTTCAACCGGCAATACCAACTTATCTTTCTAATATGTTACAATACAGGAAAAGGGGGGAATTTGCAACTTGGACATTGGCACAAATAAGGAAAAAATGGTAACCCTCAAATGGCCCAGTTTTTCCAATTTCTCTTGGCTGAGGAGAGGGAGACAAGGGACTCTGCTCTGATGAAGACTGGCTGTCTCGCAGGGCTGCTTTGTGCGGTGGGGCAGGGTGGCAGGGAGAGTACAGGTCTGCTGTTGCTGTGTTTTTTAGTAGTCAGAAGCCTTCCTTTCCATTGCACGGCAGTCCGGAAAAGAAATGCCTGACATTACGACAAGGGGGTCATCCTCAGTCTGGGGACAGCCAGAGGCAGATCCTGGCCACAAGTTTAAGTGGAGCCAAGTGGGTTCGCCTCAGAAACCAGAGAGATAAACAGAATAAATGAGAGAGAGAGAGAGAATGCACAAGAGCAAGAGTGTACATGCTATAACCAAAACGGCCTCTGGATCTGAAGAGCTCACATGTACATGTAAGTGTGCATATAAAATACCATTATGTTGATAGCCCAATGACAGCAGGTAACTGATGGTTACAATGACATCGAGACTAAAAGTACCAACAGAAATGGAATGACCTGGGCGGGTATAAGAAAGGAAAAAGGAGAAAGCTCCCTGAAAAGAAATATAAATAAATAAAGCAACAGGCCATTCTCACTAATATGAACATGGGCCAAACACAAACCGTGACAGGGCATGTCCTCTGGCTCTCCCAGGGGACTCCCCGGGTCTCACGTCTTTCCTTGCAGTGGTGGGCTGGCTGGTGACCTTTGGTTTGTCTGTGTTTTGGTTGCTGCCAGGGGTGACTATTGTTCTTTGACAACAAGAAGCATAAACAAGGCCAAAGTCCCCTTGAAGGTTAAACTAAAAAAAAAAATTACATCTTTTTCAAATGAAAGTGCTTTTGATGCTTGGCTATTTGTTGTGGGAGAGGGAAGGAGAAGAGGGAAAATGAAATTAAACCCAGCAACAAACAAAAGCATACCACAGCATGTGTGGACTACAGCCAATTAAGAAAATGCAAAACTCTTTTTTTTTTTTCCTCTTAATAGTTCACATACATATGCTTTTACATATATACATATGAAAACCCTCAGGGCTCTATCCTGGCCTCCCCTGTACACTGTGCCACTTTCTGGTTTCCATTTTCCTTTATTTAGCCTAGCAAAATGATCTCAAGGCATGCTGTTACAACTGAGAACAGAGTGTTCCCTGGATGGAATTCACCACCGATATGCGGAGAAGCAGGAGGTTTTGCTCCAGGAGCATCAGAAAAGCACTTGGATGACGAGCAAGGAAACCCTGCCAATGCCCTGCTGGTCCACGACTGGCTTCTTATGCCAGGGCTGTGGGGTCCCCGGCAAAGCAGCCACCAATTTCCTGCTCAGAGATTGCTCTGTGGGGAAGGACTAGATAAGTCTTCCCTGCAACTGAAAACAAAACAAAACAAAAACACCCAAAATTTGGAAATGCGGTGGGATATTCTTTAAAAAGTAGCTTCTATCAGTCCTGTTTGATTCTCTTTAATAAGTCTGCTCTTCTCATTTGACTTCTGATTGTCAGAATTTTACCCAGGGCCAAGTATACTGTGATCTCATTGAGTTACAGTGTTTTTTTTTTTTTTTTTTTCAGAATAGAAATAACTGAAGCTTTCCTATTGAGTGAGGGTCATGAGGGGCCCTGGGCACTGTCTTTGTAGCTAACAAACAAACAAGCAAAATTACTCTAAGCACTTTCGTAACACTTGAAATGTGTAGGGCCTATCAGACTGCTTTCTCACAAGGATGACTTCTGCTAAGATCTCCCTGTAACCACGACGAGTATTGCTCTTCAACAAAGAACAGGATTGAGATTAGAAAGAATAATTTGTGATGAAAGACCAAGCAAGCTGGAGACAGGAGACCGTTTCCGTTTGCTTTTGCCAGGAGAGAATGTAACTTGTTTGGGGCGGGGGGGGGGGGGTGAAGGGTGTCTGTGGGGGAGGGGCAGGGGCAGGGGGGAAAGACTGCTGCTATTAACACTCTAGAATACTATTTACAGCTGCTTCTAAAATGGAGTCAGTTTCTACAACGCCTTCGCTGTGGTCCGGGATGAACTTTTCCAGGCAGTTTTCTTGCAAAGCCATTGGCGAAAAGTTGGGAAAATCTAACTCAACAGAGCCGCTAACCGTGGGGTCACTCTGGGGCTGCCTCCCAGCCTTTTTGAGTTCCAAGATGTTCTTAAACGTTGTTTCCAGACTCTTACTGAGCTGGAGGTCTGGCTGGGCCTCCCCTGGCCCTTTCATGATGTCTGTGTGTAAAACTTCATTCTTTGGAGAATTCCTCAGAGTTTTGTCTTGGAAGGAATTGTTACATGTCATCTCCAGGTGAGAATCTACCAGAATACTTGAGAGCTTGCTTTCAGTACCATGATCTGGTCTGGACGAGGTTTTCCGGTGCCCGTCAGGGCCGGGAGAGCACTCACTGGCCTTCATGGAGTCTCTCCGGCTGGTTTTCTCTTCGGATGCACTCCGGTATTGGACTAAGCCCCCTTTGTCGAATTTCAGTGCTCTGCCGAGGCATTCAGTTTTCTTAGAAATGTTTCCTTCTGCGGAGACCACAATGTGATTAGGCACTAGATGAAATTGGTCATGATTCGTGGGTTCTGCCATGCCTGGTTTGGCTCGGTCTCTGCTCTGGGCCTTGGCTGTCAGATGCAGGGAGCTGGTCGTTTTGCTGCCATACTGGTCACTCCTGCCAAACTGTGTCTCAGGAGTGGCTTTATCAACTTTGAAGGAACAACAGAAATCAGCCTGAAAACCATCTGAAAATGAGAAACAAAGCATGAATGAAAGGAGAGGAAGTACTACATGATAGAGCTTCAGAGGGTCAGGTGAGAGGGCAAACGCATCCTGCCCCACCCCGCCCGCCCACTGAGCCAGTGTGTTTCTCCAGCAGGAACCGTGGAAGCATTATACTGAGAAACCAGTACCAGCTGCCGTTGACTTGAGTCCGTCTCACAGCCACCCCATGCACGCCAGAGTGGAACTGTGCTCCTGAGGGTTCTCAATGGCTGATGTTTTGGAAGTGGATTGCCAGGCCTTTCTTCCAGGGTGCTCCTGGGTGGACTCGAACCTCCAACCTTTTGGTTAGCAGCCAAGCGCTTTAACCGTTTACACTACCCAAGAACTCCCTAATACTGAGAGGGCAGCCTATCAAAGTAACCAAGGCTCAAGCTGCAGCTTCCAGATGGGAAGCTTAAATCTCTTTGAAAAGGTAGCAGTTTGGTAAACCAGATGGGCAAAAGGCTCCACTCAGTCCTGATCTCTTAGTGTTTTTTTTTTTTTTTTTTTTTAATGACCACTTTGAAACTGTCTGAAAAAAACAAATTAGGTGCTGGTATCAGCCTGGTTTCTTCCTTAGCAACGAGGGCCCTGGGGCCTGGGCACACCTACTTTGTGTTTGGGCACTGGGGCTTCAGTCTGTCCAGATCCCCACAGAACTAGCTGCAATTTGCTGGGAGTACAAAATGAAGGGTCAACTCGAGTCCTAAATGAACCTGCTTGGCAGGACAGGACTGTCGAGGAGCTGCACCTACGAGTGAGCGCTGATCTGTGTCAGGAATGTGAGGATGGCAAGAGCAGTGTGCCTAGGGACCAGAGGCTGAGGGGACAAATGAGGTCATGCAAGGTCAGAAAACGTGCTAACTCTGGAAGTACTGCAAGTGAAATAGAGCTTTGATGACATCTGTAAAACCACAAAGAATATGAATAGGAAGAAAATACATTTGTTCACCAAATTCCAAATGTGAGATCTTGGGGATAAATCCCTGAAACTTAAAAAAGATTTTTCCATCCAACAAACAGAGGCAGAGGTGAGTGACAGCTTTGTCTCTGCCCATGTGACGCTCATGTCATGGGGTTGTGACAAAGTAGGGGGGTTTATTCACAAGCCCAATAAGTCAAAAGGCAATAGCATGATTTCAGGTTCTGAGAAAAAGTGACAGAAACACATCATACATTATTCTCTTCCTCTTTGGGATGATTTGAGGATCTTCCTATGTACAAAGTGTTTCTTTCAGACTCTCCCTTTACACTAAGTATGTTGTATTGTTACGTGCCATCGAGTTGATTCTGACTCATGGTGACCCTATACGACCCTATACACTCCATAGGGTTTCCTAGGCTATAATCTTTATGGGAACAGATCACCAGGTCTTTTTGCCCATGGGGCAGTTAGTGGGTTTGAACCGCTGACCATTTGGTTAGCAGTGAGGTGCTTAATCATTGCACCACCAGGTCTTCTTAGACTAAGTATGTTGTTGTTGATGTTGTTGTGTGCCATCAAGTTGATTGTGACTCATAGCAACCCTATAGGACAGAGTAAGACTGCCCTGTAGGGCTTCTTAGGCTGTAATCTATGGCAGCAGATCTCCATGTCTCTTCTCCCATGGAGCCACTGGTAGGTTTGAACCACCAACTTTTCAGTCAGCAGGCCAGTGCTTAACCATTGCATCAGCAGGGCTCCTTAGATTAAGTATCCAAATAAAAAACCAAACCCATTGCCACTGAATCGATTCCAACTCAAAGTGACCCACAGGACAAGTAGAACTGCCCTGTAGAATTTCCAAGGCTGTAAATCTTTATGGAAGTAGACTGCCATATTTTTTGCTCACGTATCAGCTGATGGGTTTGAATTGACAACCTTTTGGTTGGTAGCTGAGAGCTTTAACCACTGCCCCACCAGAGCCCCTTCAGACCAAAAACCCAAACCCACTGCCATTGAGTCGATTCCGACCCTCAGTGGCCCCTATAGGGTTTCCAAGGCTATAAATCTTTACAGAATCAAGACTGCCTTATCTTTCCCCTGTGGTGTGGCTAGTGGGTTCAAACCACCGACCTTTTGGTTAGCAGCTGAATGCCTTAACCGTAGTGCCACTAGAGCTCCAGACTAAGTACAAGGATTATATATTCTCTTTGGAGACTTCTTGAGCTAAATCAAGCACAGGGAAGAACCTTAATATTTAAGTATCAGAAAAGCTGTTAGGGGAATGGAAGTAAAGCCACAGGAAAACACAGTCCAGTAACAGGGGAATCAATTAGCTATGTTATCAAGTTAATACATTACAAATCGATTAACTATTAATTTGAAAACTACAGCAATATTACAAAAACTTCAAATGTGTTAAATGAAATCAGAAAACCACATATATCTTATGACATATGATTATATCTAAATAATGTATGTAAGTGGAAACTATATTTGAAGAAAATTTAGAGAAATAAAAACATTTCTTTTATAGGATGGTGAAAGTAAAGGTAAAATTTACATTCTGCAAATGGTTATAATGTTGTTTTACAGACATTTTTAGATAACAAGAAAGAATAGAGAACTTATTTTCTAAAAGGCAGACTGTGGATCAAATCTAAAATACATTTTTACTGTACACAGTCAAATCTAAAATGTGAGAAATTGATGGGGTGAGAAAAAAGTACTTAAAAGAGGCATTACAATTCACTAGCTTGTGGGCAGGGACCGTATTTTGGTCATCTTTTTTCCCTTTAATACTCAATAATTTGCTGAAGTTTAATTGCTTCTGAGAAGGACTTAATTAGTTCTTAAAAAATGGGAGAAAATTGAGAATTTTAAGTTTATAATAAGGAAAAATCACTTATCGGAATGTGAAATTCCAGCTTAGATTGTGTAGAATGTAGGCCTTCTTACAGTGCTCACAGACTACTCTGAGCTCAGGGTTTTTTCTCCCCACAATTCATGTTATGCATTCAGTTTTTGCCATGCTCAGGGGTCAGTTCCAACAACCTCCCTAAAGGCCCCCAAGTCCCTGCATCACGGCAGAAGCACTCCCTGAATTCCACTCTGCTGTTTCTTACCAGGGTCTACAAGTGCCAGACGCTTGTCCCGGGACAGAGAAGCTCTTTCTTCCTGGTTGAACATTCTGTCAATCATTACCATCTCAGCAGAGGGATCGATCCGCTGAAAAGGAGAAAGTACAGTTTAGATGCCTTTTTAGCAAGTAAAAGTATCTGTGACTTTGAAACAAATGAAACAACCAGAAAGGAGAATTTGATGTCTTGGTTCTAGTCATGTCCCATTTGTTCTTATTTATCCTAGCCACATAGGATAAACTCTTTTTAAATTTTTTTAATAGGTAATTTACATGCTGGTATAAAATTCAAAAGGTACTAATGGGTCTGTGAAAAGTCAGCTGCCCCTCCGTATACTTCCTACTACCCAGTACCTCTCCCCAGTGGTATCCTCGTTCTAACAGCTTTGTAGCATTCCCTTGCTGAGATGGTCTGTGTCACACCAACATACACATCTTTATGTCTGCATACAAATGGTACCCACTATGCGCATTATCCTGTACCTTGCTTTCCCCCCTCCTCCTCCTGCCTCTACTTAATATGTCTCAGCAATCTTTCCATTAGGATGATCTTTCACTTTATATTCTGCTATATATCCTTTTTTTTTTTAAATTAAGGCTGTTCTTGAAATTAGCTTTTATTGGACAGAATCAAATCTTACATTATATTTCTAGGTCTTAATTAACAAGAAAGTTCATGGCAGATATCAGATAATCTGGCCAAATGGTCCTTTCTTCAAAAATGTTGTTGGTATTACTTTTTGCTGGGTCAGTTTTGACTTGTGGTGACCCCATGTGTTCCAAAAGAGACGAGCTCTGTAGGGGTTTCCTGGCTGTAATATTAGTGGACGCAGGTCACCAGACCTTTCCTTTTGTGGCACCACCGAGTGGGTTCTAACCATCAAACTTTAGGCTGTGCTAAATGATGGAGCTGGTCTGTTTTTGATGACTCAGGGTTTTGTTTGAAAATGGTTGTTAATATGAGACTGAAATGTTTCAGACTCTGGAGACACGGTTTTAAGGAAATAAACACACACACACAAATAGGCCCTCTATATCCATGGGTTCTGCATCCATGAATTCAACCAAACTTGGATTGAAAACATTCAAGGAAAAAAAAAAAAAAAACAATACAATTATGTGGTGATGTGGTGAAAGCAATCCCTGGAAAGCTAAGAGGGAGTGTAAGTGCTATTTATATAACATTTACATTGTATAAGGTATTATAAGTCATCTAGAGATGATTTAAAGTATATGGGAAGACTTACACAGGCTATATGCAAATACTGTGATTTTTATATCAGGGACTTGAACATCTAAAGATTTCGGTATCTGTAGGTGTCCTGGAACCAATCCGCCATGGATACCGAGGGACAACTGTGTGTGTGTGTGTTACGTTATACTGTAACCACATATACTATAGTTCAACTAATCACCCAAAGATACATTTTCCAACTTAATCTCAAATTGAAAATGACTTGTAAGAGACCAGTTAAATAAGTTATAGTCATATGAGTTAAAGCTTATATGATTTTAGAACTGCTTATAAAAATCTCAGAATAGGTTTGGCCTTTCCATCATTTCCTGAGATAACTTACATCTTTTCTTTTATTAACTGATGCTTCAAAACTAATTTTAGTTTCTTTCTGGGATGATGAAAATGCTTTGGAATTAGATAGTGGTAGTAGTTGCATAAAAAAACTAAAAATCAAACTCACTGCTGTGGAGTCAGTCCCAACTCATAGAGACCCCTCCTTGGATTTTGGAGGCAGTATCACTATAGAAGTAGATTGCCCAACCTTCCTTCTGAGGAGTGGCTGGTGGGTTTGAACCGCCAGCCTTCTGGTTAAGCAGTTAAGTGCCTTAGCTGCTGCACCACTAGAGCCCCTAGTAGTTGCATAACCATGTTAATATACTAAAACCCACCAAACTGTACACTCTTAAGTTATGATGGGGTGCTGTCTGGGTTGGTGAGAGGCAGCAGGCAGCACCCGAGTGTGGGCTGGGGAGTGTCAGATGGTCCTGGTCTGTATCCTAGCTCTGCTACTTTGCAAACTTATTAGCTGTATTATCTTCTTCTTGTTGTTGTTATTTGCCGTTGAGTCAGACCTGACTCAAAGGGACCCCTCCTTGGGTTTCCGAGGCAGTATCACTATGGAAGTAGATTGCCCAACCTTCCTTCTGGTATTATCTTAGGTGCGTTATTTAACCAAAGCCCTTGGTGTTGTTGTTGGCTGCTGTCAAGTTGGCCCCCAACTCATGGCAACTCCGTGGGCAATGGAATAAAATGCTGCTTGGTCCTGTGCATTTTTGGTTGTGGGTCAAACCATTGTGATCCACAGGGTCTTCACTGGCTGGTTTTCAGAAGCAGATCACCAGGCCTTTCTTTCTAGTTTGTCTTAGTCTGGAAGCTCCACTGAAACCTGTCCAGCACCACAGCCACACACAAGCCTACACTGAGGGGTGGTAGTAGCTGCACAGGAGATGCACTGGCTGGAACTGAACCCAGGTTTCCCACATGGCAGGCAAGAATTCTACCACTGAACCACCAAAGCCATGGGTTTCTCATTTATTAAACAAGAAAACAATAATACTATGATAGACTGTATAAAGTGGGGGCAAATATTAGCAGCTATTAGTAGTAGTAATGGCCAAGTATATGCTTTTCTACAATCTTAAATATCTGTGCCTTCTAAACTATGTTCTGAAGATATAATTTCTTGAACATCTCTCTGAATTAGTAGCTATAACCTGTGGAGTTTTAAAAAACAAATAAACTCAGTAGCATAAATTTTACCATAGCATCTTCTAGGAGCAGACATCTGTATTTGTTAAGCATAGCTTGAGTTCTTTTTAGGAGCTGGGTGGCAACTGTTTCAAATTCATTGTCCACTTTAAAAAAAAGAGAGAAAAAACAGTAAGAGTATAAATCAGGTCTGGCGGTTCAAACCCACCACTAGGTCTTATATTTCTTAGGGCTGAAATGTTTTATTCTTCCAAATATAAGCAGTAATTTAATTATTCAAACATGGCTTCTCCATGGAAATTTTCTCTTCATAGGTTAGCTTTTCCTTGGTTAAGAATCATGCTTCTGTAATGCTTTCTCTCATGTCTGCTGGTAGGCAGTCACAGAAACTCATTTTAACATTAGCCTGTTTTAACTTTAATTAGGAAGCCAAAAACATAATACCTTTAAACAAAGTATAAAAAAGAAAACTATGTAACACAGTCTAGTAACCACAATATGAATGAATAGATAATGATCTGCTTGTTTAGATGATTGAAGCCTCCATTCCCTTCCAATCATATGAAAACTAAAAACAAACAAAAAAATGAAGTTTAACTGTCTCAGTTGGGCAGACTGTATTATGTAAAGACACAAGCTAGTTTGTGATACCTTGCCAGTCAGGTCCTTCCTGTGGCCCTGTCTTACATCTATCAGTCTCCAAAGGTCTCATATTTTCTTTCTTCTTTTTTTTTTTTCAATTGTGATTTGGGTGAAAGTTTACAGAGCAGATTCACTTTCCATATAGCAGCTCACATACACTTTGTCTCATGACATTGACTACAATTTCCCACAAACAGCTCCCCCTCACACTCCCTCCCCATAGTTACCTCTTCCCTGTGTCCTTCCCTCCCATGTACTCCTGCCCCCCAAGCTGTCTCCCTGTGCATACACAGCCCTTCTATTTTCCCATGATTGATCTCTCCAAGGAGTGTATCTACTTAATGTAAATGTTCAGCTCATATGCCTGTCAAAGGTCTCATTTTTTCTAATTCACTCTTCTTCTCAGAGTCTCCACACCCCTGTTTAAGTCTGCATCTTGGCCCTGTTTCCCGGACCTTCCAGGAAAGCACACAGTAGACTGACACAGCCCCATTGTACTCTGAGAGCAGAGACTTCGGCCTCGAGGATAAACAGGTGACAGCCAAGGAAAGGACTAAAGCAGCGGAGGGTCACGAATGGAGTCAGGGTTTGGGAGTGGGGATGGGGAGGAGGGGTAGAATTAAGCTTCACACCTGGGAGACGCAGCATAGCCAACCACTAGAATGGACTTAGTTCTAGGCTGGGGTCAGGAGCCCTAGCAGCCCTTAACCTTTAGGCCAGGATCTTGAAGTACAACATACTACAATGTCTACATCAGTTGACTGACTCCCTTTGGAACCCTAGAGAATTCTTTTGGAGGTTAAAGTGCCGATTTAACTAATCAGGCTAGTAGTAACAGCTAAGAGTATGCATTCTGTCTAAAAGCAACAGCTATGCCTAGTCCAGAGCCAGCTCATCTGCAGTCAGCAGTCCAAACAGTGCTTTGGATTTACTCCCTATATCCAAATTTTTCAATAATTATCTGGCATTTCAGTATCCCTTCACAGACTATTGAGAAGAATAAGTCAGAGCCCTAAGTATGGACTGGGAAGTTGAGTAAATTGGGAACAAGTTAGATCTGTGATTTAAAAAAATAAGCCGCTGACTACGTGCGGGTTGTGTGGCTCTCGCTCATTGGTGGGGGCATCCAAAGGAGGACATCTGGTGTCACGGTGGCCTGCCTAGGTGGCAGCCTGCTTACCTTTCCTCAAGTCCTCCTCGGTGGGCATGGAGCCCTGGCACACGTGGTAGGAGAGCAGCCTCTGCACTGCGTCATTTAGTGATCGGAATTGACTCTTATCAGGGGTCACAGCATGGGCTTGGTCCCTCTGCAACTGCTGGAGAATGCTTTAAAAGAGAAAGTTCCATGTCAGTGCAGAGTCCAGTTAGGAAATCTAATCGCGATGATTACTTGCATGCAAAGAAAGTGAGATATCTGAAAATGGTATTATTTACAATGTAGCAGTTCTCAGAGTTTTTTCTTCAGTTTTGTATTTTGTGTGCTGCAGTGGATTTAGCCTTGGGTCTAACCATCTCCACAGGGGACTCGAACTATGACTCTGACTTTACAAGCAATGCTCCCATCCACCCTTCATGTGTGGGCACTCACACATGCTTGGGCAATGGCCGACCACTGGCCAACGAACATTTCTGTCCTGAACTTGGGAGTTTATCAAACCATACATCTCCTCAGAGACTCCTAGGCCACCTCAAAGGTTTCTGGCATGTTAAAAAGACAAAGAATTATTCTCCTTATGAACAAAAGAACAAACAGTACGCTCAAACTATATCTGATATACTTACAGGTCCTAACAAAAACAAACTAGGGAAAGATTTTCAGTCCATTATTATAATCTGACTTTATGGGATATTGTATCTACTGAAAGTTAGCAAGCCCAAAAATGTTCAAAATCAATTTGTCATCTCCAAAGGTACTCACAAAGCTCCTTTAGTTAGTTGTTTTGCAGCAGGCCTTTTTTGTCCTCCTGTATGACTGTCCACCTAAAGATAAAAGATAAAACACACTTCTTATTCCCTTTTATAGAAAAAAATAAACACAATACATTACCCATAAAAGTCAGTATGTTTCAAATGTTCTCAACTACCTATGAAAAGCATATGGTAAGATAGCAAAATTTGCCTGCTAAAAAATAAACAAGTGCATAGACCCCATATAGCGAAGTTGTACTGTGTCAAAATTATAAAAAACTGTCAATTCCTTAGGACTTAGTTTATGACTTAAAGCTCGAATCCCTAGCTTCTTCTACAAATGCATCATTATATTACTAAAGAAATATATTTTGGGGTACCAACTCCATGATATCGGAAAAATCAAAAGATACCCCTCAGTCCATCTTCTTAGTAGTAAATAAATAAGATAGCAAATGCTTTCGAGCTTCCGTTATGTACTGTTTAGTGTGTGAGTTAGTAGGGCATTTCTTTTTCTTTTTTCACATTTTTAAACAAATTTATTTTGTTGTTGCTATTGAGAATATACATAGTAAAACATATACCAATTAAACTGCTTCTGTGTGTACAGCTCAGCAACACTGATTACATTCTTTGAGTTGTGCACCATTCTCACTCTCCTTTTCTGAATGATTCCTCACCTGTTAACATAAACTCACTGCCCCCTAAGTCCTATCTAACTTTTCAAGGTGCTGTTAGTAGGGCATTTCTTATATCATGTTAAAGACACAAATATGTCTTACATCAGAACCCTGACATCTGAATCAGAGCCTCCACTGAGATTTCCAGGGAGGCCTAGACCAAAACAAGTTCCATTATACTACTAACTGACAAGCTTGATAGAGAAGAAACTAAGACCTTAGTAAGCTGAGAAAAAACATATTTTTCCTTCCTTTTTAGACCAGCAGTTTGAAATATTTTGAGGTATGTAAGCCAACATTGGGTCAAAAGACCATAGGGACTCCCTACTTCATACATTCATAGATGCCACTACAGAAAAACAAAAATCTCTCAGCATAAATAAGAAGAACCAATCCATTTTTGATATGATAATGAGCTATAGCATTCAATGGTTGAAACTACATTTTCAAGCACCTACTATATGCTGGCTGTTGGTATATTATTAATTCAGGAGCAAGTGATAGCATTGTTAAATATGTCAGAAATAGAGTAGCTATATTCATCCCAAGGAGCTCTGGTAGCATAGTACCTAAGGTATTTGACTGCTAACCAGAAGGATGGCGGTTCAAACCCACCAGCCACTCCTTGGAAGGAAGATTGGGCAATCTACTTCTGTAGTGATACAGCCTCAGAAAGCCAAGGAGGGGTCACTATTAGTCAGGTCTGACTCCACAGCACATAACAACAACAACATATTCATCTCATAAACACTAACAAGGCCTGACCCACTGTGAAGGTCTTCAGTGACCACATTCCTGAATGGCTGTCTCATGGGTGCACAGAGTGACTGTGTGGACTATGACCATGATGCGTACACAGGATGAGTATGTGGACTGTGTACATGATGGGTACACAGGGTGAGTGCACAGACTGTGTACATGATGCTAGACAGACACCACTGAGCACATAACATGCCTATGTTTTCATGTGATGACACTAAACATTAAGAAGGTATTCAAAGAGTCGTCTACCTGCACAGTTGGCTGGCCAGAAGATGATCCCATTACTTTTTCCTGCTGTGGGTGTGTGGTTCCTAAGGATGCCGGTATAACTTTGCTTCCAGAATCCTGCCCTATTAGAATGAATACGTAAGACAATGTTCAATAGGAACAGTACATCAGGTTCATCATTTGGCCCTAGAGCCCAGTATGAACATACTACTGAACATTCTAGAAGAGATTTCTTTACCATGGATGCCTGCTGTGAGGAAGGAGAGCAAAGAAGTACATTTATAACACACTCTAGAGACAGAGGTAAGGAGTATTAGGGGACAGTTCTACTCTCGTCTACAGGGTCATTATAGGTTGGAAGCGACTCAATAGCAGTGGGTTTTATTTCAGTAGTAAGAAAACAGATAGGTGATAAATATAAGTAAATAAATGGCAGTAAGTGAATAAAAGCTGCAATTGCTGTTGTTCTGGATTATCTGTAGTTTGAGGACTAGGCCTCATGCCAGTAAATCTGTCAACTCTGTGTAACCTCAAAACACTCAGAGTTTCGGAAAAGAGAAGCCTAAAGAGTGGACTGATTAGGCATGCTCAAGCTTTTATCTTCTCCAGTGCTTACTGAACAGTGAGGGTATTCAAAGCATAGGGGGAAATGCAAGAAAGAGCCTACAGGTCTTCAGTCTTGGGGGGATTCCAAATAAACATATGTAAAGCAACATGAGGTTAATTACAAAGTCCCACGTGTCATATAATACCATAAAACACTAGATTTCATTGTTTCCAGAAGGCACTTTTTTTTTCACATAATGTGTCAAAATTTAATTAGAAGTGCTTTTCTTTCTTTCTTTTTTTTTTTTAGTGGTTAGAGAATAATGGGCACATCTTAAAATTGATGGTATCTTATAGTGGATGCAGGAACTCTCGTAGCATAATGCCTAAGGCATTTGACTACTAACCAGAAGGCTGGAGGATCAAACCCACCAGCCACTCCTCAGAAGGAAAACTGGGCAGCCTACTTTCATAGAGACACTGTCTCGGACACCCAAGGAAGTGTCACTATGAGTCAAAACCAACTCGACGGCAGTGAGTTTGGTTTGGTTTTGGTTTATAGTGGATACAACATAGGATATTATTTGTGTAGAGGCAAGATTATGGCAGAAAGCTTTCATCCAGAGCAAGGCAGGAGAGAAGAGTCCCCTCTGGGCACTGGGAGGACAGGGACACACTGAAGAGCAGACCACAAAGGCTCCTGACCTGGTAGTACGGTGCTCAGGAGGCCAGGGATCTGCGCCGGCCTCAGGCCATCTGCAGACTTGGAAGCTGAGATGGGGGAAGTCTGAGTCAAAGTTTTTTTCTGAGCCTGTGAGAAATATTACCAGATGGAAAAATTAATTTCATGACTAAAAGCTTTAATAAATTACTTCAAAAGTCAACCGAGTACACCTATCATTAACCTTTAGGGCAGACTACAAAGCAAACTAAGACAAAAAGTTTTAAAACACAATTTGCCTGTTATGTCAGAACTGCAAAGTGTGTTCTTTAAAATCTATAGGCATGCTGAATTTTCTTTTCTTTCTTTTTTTTTTTTAATTTTTTGTGATTTGGGTGAAAGTTTACAGAGCAAATTCATTTTCCAGCAATTCACACACATTTTGTTTCATGACATTTACTGGAATTCCCCACAATGTAACAGCTCTCTTCCTACTTCATCCCTATAGTTACCTCTTCCCTGGGTCCTTCCTATGCAAAACGTCTCTCCCACGATTAATTGCGCCAAGGAGTATATCTACCTGATGTAAATGTTCACCCATATGCCTATCTATTGTTTGGCTGGAAGCCACAGAGTGGCTTCAGTTCCAGACCTGAAGGGTAACTAGGGGCCATAGTCTCAGGGGTCTTACCAGGCTCTATCAGACCAGCAAACCTGGTCTTTTTTTATAATTTTGAGTTTTGTTCCACATTGTTCTCCCGCTCTATTCAGGATCTCCTGCACCAATCCCCCTCTGAGTGGTTGACAGGGTAGAAAGGGCCATCTAGTTCTTTTGGTCTTATGGTCGTATAGGCTGAGGATCACATAGTCTACTAGTCCCTTGGACTAATTGTTTCCATGTATCTTTGCTTTTCTTCATTCTTGTTTGCTCTGGATGAGGAGAGACCCATCACTGCACCTAGACGGCCGCTTGCAAGCTTTTATTAAGACCCCAGTCGCTACTCACCAATGCAGGATGTAGAACAATGTTTCTGTGTAGTAAGTTATGCCAATTGAGTTTGGTGTCCCTTGCGATGTCCCTTGAGACTACAGTCCCGAGCCCACAGGTCCCACTACGAGTTTCCTCAGGGTAGCTGGCTGTGGCCAAGAAGTCACCATAACCTTTAGCCACACTGAATTTTTCTGCCCCATTCAGTAGGTATGCAGAGTTGATACCAGAACTGTATTCTTGCTCCTGGGACTGTTGTGAATGTGGTGCCAAGAAGCAAAGGCTGAGGATGGCAGTCCCAGCCACTTTCTATCCCAGGTAATTTTATATTCATGCCTCCTAGGATTATAATAAAGGAGCTCTGGTAGCACAACAGTTAAGCGCTAGGCTGTTAACTAAAAGGTTGGCAGTTGGAACCCACCCACTGGCTCCACAGGAGAAAGACCTGGAGATCTGCTTCTGTAAGGACTACAGACAAGAAAACCCTATCAGGCAGTACCACTCTATCATGTGGGGTCGCTACAGGTCAGAATGGACTTGATGGCATCTGTTGTTGTTATGTGCCGTCGAGTCAGACCTGACTCATAGCAACCCCTCCTTGGGTTTCTGAGGCAGTATCTCTACGGAAGTAGATTGCCCATTCTTCCTTCCAAGGAGTGGCTGGTGGGTTTGAACTGCCAGCCTTCTGGTTAGCAGTCAAATGCCTTAGGCACTATGCTACCAGAGCTCCCATCTAGGCTTCTAATAACAAGAAGATTATGATACTGAGTTCCTGTGTGGGGTCTGCACAGACTTTGACCATCTGGTCAGGGGCCAAGGGCCAACCCCAAAGCGCTAGTGTCAACATGCATTATTTGCTGTGTAGATGATCTAAAGTACTTGTCATCTGGTATGTTTCTAGTTTGTATCACATCACCATCATGTGGCATGTAATCAGGAAATGTAAATTCAATTTAATGTTTTAAAAAATACAGAAACCAGTTGCTATTGAGTTGAGTCTGACTCATGGCAAACCCATGTGTTACCCTGAGCAAAGTAACATTACAAAGATTGATATAATGTTCAAACTGTTGTGTGCTTCTTTACTAAGAATGAGGAAGATGCACCAGATGCTATTTAAAGGTTAGCAAGTTCCTTTTAATGCTTAAAAAGTCTGTTTTCTCTATAATGCATTTTAAGTAAGACTATAAATGGCTTTCAAAGTACCCTCAATTTTTACTCCTCTATGCAATTACTATTTCATAATGCAGTAGTCTTCAGAGTTTTTTCTTTAATTTTTATATTTTGTAAACCATTAGTGGTTTTAAAGTTTAGTCTAGCCATCGCCACAGGAGGCTTAAACTTGGCTTAAGCACGGTGCTCCCACCAATCATTCACAAAGACCTGAGCAATGGCTGACCATTTTCCGACTGAGTCCATGCCACCATTTCTGTTCTAAACAATTATTGATTTTATCTAACATAAAAATGGAGAAGAGGTTGACACTCTCTCCAAAAAAAAAGGGGCGGGGAGGGGTGCTGGAGGAAGCGATTGCTGAGTTGGAAATCATCACTTTGCTCATCCTTCCATCAATAATGGTAGACTGATAGGCAAGAAACTCTTCAGGAGAAAATTGCAAGGGGAAATGTCAGTATCAAAATGTTTCTCAAGTGAGGAATATACAATGTCCCAGTTTTCAGAGCACTTTCCCTCACACTCTCCTTTTCCAGGGGAGATCTTTACATGCAGATACCATGTTGTGGAGAGGCCTGGGGCAAACAACAGTGTGGACAGGCCTTACCATAAATATTTTCAGGGGATGAATACTAAGGGTCACCATGAAGAAAAAACAAAACAGATAAAAGTTGAGAAAAACGTAGTTTAACAGGATAGCCAAATACTAGATGAGACTCTGAAGTTACAAGATTGATAGATGACTGGACAATCAAAATTAATACATCCAAATGATCAGTCCTTATAGCAGTGTTGCCCTAGACAATATTTTTGGGATTTCTTTCAGTGTGCCTAGTTCACATGAAACAAAAGAAATTCTCCTTATTGTTTCAGAGCATATATAAATTTCTGATAAACATAGTCTAATCCAGGCTGACTTCCCATCTTGTTGATTAGACGTGTCCTGGAACAACTTCTGGCTATTAAGCAAATAAAACAGAACATATGCATACATACATAGTAAAAGTACAAAGAAAAGCAAGGAAGAGGTTACTATAAAAGTCAGGTGAATGTTTATCTTTAAGAGGGAAAGGGGCTGAGGCTGGGAAGGGACGTTGGGATGGGTTCCTGGGGTACTGGCAATATTCTATTACTTGAGCCAAGTGGTGGTTACATGGGTACTTGTTTCACAATTTTTTGTTTATTGTATATGTAGGTTTTACGCAGTTTTTTAAGTGTGTTCTATTTCATAATAAAGAAGATTAAACAACAATAACAACAAAAACAAAACTCACAAGTCCAGAACAATCTAATCTAATATCAAAGCATTAAAATTTGCCATCATTTGAGGGTATTTTTAAAAAGTACTGTAGTTTCCAAAAACAAGGTAACTACTCTTTGAGGGACACCTCTCACTTGAGTATGTTTTTGGACAGTTGTTTTCAAATCCCCTTGTCAGACTGTGTGGGTGTTCAGGATAGCACCAGAGTGTTTTAATCCTCTAACTACAGCCTGTTCCCTGACTGTGTCCCTTAGCAGACTGATTCCCTTATGTTGAGACTGGAATAACCACTCCAAATTGTTATACTAGGGGGAAGAGGTAAGGGAGTGGGTGGGTGATGGCAGAATCAGAATCCAGTGTAGAGCACGGTCTATCCCTGTCACTGGAATCTCCAGGATATACCATTCAGTGGTGTCACTAGAAGGGTACAAGGGGTGTGGCCCACACTGGTTGACACTATCAGAGGAGGTAACCCAATATTTTCCCCCTCTGTGATATATACTTTGAAAGAGGCCAATTACATTCTAGTAAGATGATATTCATCAAACATCAGGCATTTGATGAACGTAAGAGACCATTTAGAGTCTGCCCAGCCCACACTCTCCTAGGAACTTCCCATTGCCACAGAAATGGGCCGGGGGCCAGCAAAGTATGTTACCTGTCAGAGGGCAGGTAAAAGCAAAAATCCAGGAGAGGAGTACTTATTTTTCTTCCCCCATGTACAAGTGCCAAGCCAGCCAGTGAAGCAGCTGATCTACCTAGAAAAGTGGCTTTTTTCTCTTCTGACTGTGAAGAGCACCTTTTCCTAATGTTTAGAAGAGCCCTGGACAGAGCAGCAGAGGCCCTGGATGGCCACTTCCTCGTGTTGCCTAGGATCCTGCTCCTCTGGCCACAGCTTCCTGAACCATGTGTGACCCAGTCAGATACAATCCCTTGTGAATAGGGACTGCATCTGGGGGGAGTGTGGTAGTTAAGTTTGTGTGTCAACTTGGCTGGGCCTGGTTGAGTGGCTGGGCAGCTGAATGTAGTTATTCCCTGTGGTGAGACTGGCAATTAACTCCATGGTGGAATCTACTGGAGCAGCTGAGTAGCAGCTTTAGTGATGTGGTCTGCTTCCTGTATATAAGAAAAAGCTTTGGGAACGGTCTCTAGCCTATGGCATGCTTGAACCCTGCATGTAGCCGAGTCGTTGTTCAGCAGCCTGCCATGCTCTGCCAATCTTGGGACTTTCAACGGACTTGAATTAATGGCCTGCCATGTGGTTTGATAACATCAGGACTGTGCCTTTTTCCTTGTCAACCCTGGGCTTGTCAGTCTCAGCAGCCAGCAGCTGTCTGAGTGAAGAAAAACTTCTAGCTTCAGTGGTCTGGGAGCAGGAGGCAGAGCTGAGGGGCTTTCATCCAGCCCCTAGAACCTGGCACTTTGAACTCTGAATTAAAGCCTCCAAACTGTAAGAGAATAAACTCCTGTTTGTTCAAGCCATCCCATTTATGGTATATTCTTGTCAGAGCAGCACTAGGTAACCAAAACAGCAAGCTTCTGAGAAATAAACTTTCTGGGTTCCATCCACAGAGATCCATTCAGAAATTCAATGTGGGGTTTACGAATCTATAATTTTTAAAAGCTTTCCAGTTGATTATGATGAATTGCTAGGATTTAGAAACCACTGCACTTGCTGTTCAATGCCTGCTTTAGAACAATGCAGAGCTGGCCTGAAGGTGGCCATTT